TTCCCTACAAAGAACCTAGATTTCTTTTTCCTTTTTTTTCTAAGTTTCAGGAGGCACTTACCCTTAGGAAAAATCATCTAACAAGCCAGAGTTCTTTTCTGTATCTTTCTTTCTCTCCTCCCTGACTCTCTTGCTTAAGCACTGTATTAGTCTGCTAGGGCTGCTGTGACAAAATACCACAGACTGTGTGGTTAAACAACAGAAATTTACTTTCTTATAGCTCTGGAGGCTGGAAGTCCAAGATCGAGGTGATAGAAGGTTTGATTTCTCCTGAGGCTTTCCTCCTTGGCTTTCAGATGGCTGCCTTCTTGCTGTGTCTTCACATAGCCTATTCTGTGTGTGTGCACATCTCCAGTGTCTCTACCTCTTCAAAGGACAACAGTCATATGGAATTAGGGCTTCACCTTTATGACCTCATTTAACCTTAATCAGCTCTTTAATAAAGGTCATATCTTCAAATACAGTCACATTAGGGATTATGGTTTCAACATAAGAATTTTGGAGAGACAAAATTCAGTCCATACAGGTACCATACATTCTGTTTCTTCTCTCTCTCTCTCCCTGCCATCCTCTCTCTGTTCCCAGGCAGGAGTACTATAGACCCATTTCTATTACTTGTAAACATGTAAACATCTGTTGAAGGGTTAGACACATTTAAGTTGGGCATCACGCCACGGGCCAATGGAGGAACTTTAGTCTCCACCAACAGGTAAAGTCATAGAGCTAAGGACAGAACTGGAGTTCGAATCCCTAGCTATGAGGATCAGAAATTAAGCAGCAGCTAATGTGATGAGAGATTATAATTTTAAGTCCAGAGTTAGGAAAGTGAAGAAAGTTTTTTCCCTTCTCTGTCATCCATTTAATCCTTTCTGTATTCAAAAATATCAGAAAGATAATTGAAGAGAAATGTCATTTTCTTATTCCCAGGTCTCCTTGAGTTTCTCATTAGCAGTTTATGTGGACAGGTATAGAGTATTTCTCAGAGTAGAATTTGGGCCTCTTAGATGGACACCTCCAAAACCCTAGAAACCCAGTAGTCTGGTACTGGGTAGAGAGTGGGTAATGCCTGAAATGTTTCCAGCGGGCCACAGCATCACCCCACTGCTGCAGACTCACCCAGTTGACCCAACACTCCATCAGAGGCTGGTGTCGACCAACTGCCCAGGCTGTTGTAGCACCTGCTTCCTTCTGTTTATGGCACTAAGGACTTTCTTCCTGGGACCCAGCTGCATCTGTATGCTCTGAAGGTCCTCATCAGAGCAAAGCAGCAGAGCTTCCAGATCAATCTGCTCTCTCATGAAAACAGGAAGGAATTCTTCCAGGTAGTGGGACAGCAAGAACACTTCCAGGGGAGTAGCATCAACCACATCTTCCTCCCACTCCACTTCATCCTCATCCCAAGGCAGATCATCTTCACGGTGGTTTTCCGCTCCCTCTTCATCAGCCTCAGGTCCTCCTTGTCTCTGAAGCAATTCACTGGGCATTTTCAACCCCAACTCCCTCTTGCTGTCTGAGATGTCTTCAGGGCTCAATATTCTGTTCCTTCTAAAAACAACATTTCCTAGACCTGGACGGTTGAGAATGGATTCGTGTTGCACACAGCTGTCCGCCTTTACTGAGAACTGGAGCTTGTCTTTGAAGTCCCCTGAGAAGGGGTCTTCGTCCTCCTCTCTGAACACTTCCATCACATTCTTCTGCCCACTTGTTCTCTCCTTCCCTAACGGCTCTGCTGTATCTTTGTTCTTCTTGAACTTTATTTTAAAGGTGTCTTTAATGCCCTTAGACAGTGACCCAAATGTGTTGGAAGCAGAAACATTTGAAAGGGATGACCTGGAGAAAGTGCCCTTGGAAGAAGAAAGAGTCCCAGATTCCTCCTTGTTGTAGGTGCGGGCCATCTTATTTTGGTGCTTCTCCTGGAGCCTCTCACACTCTTTGATCTGCCTCCTGGCATTCTTCTGAGCCTGCTCCTTCAGCCTGGTGACCTTCTTGGGGTTCATGATGTTCTGGGCAGTGGCAGCCTTATCCAAGAGACCAACACATTCATTCTGCTCTCTGCTGGCAGCAGCATCCAGTGGAGACTGTAAATCGTTGTCCAGGGCAAAGATGTTGGCACCAAAGTTGATCAGAAATGAGACACAGTAGGCATGACCATTGGAGGCTGCATAGTGTAAAGGAGTATTTCCCCAGATGTCACATCTATCAGGATCCCCTCTAGAAGAGAAAATATAAAAAATACATGCTAATTTTTTTCTCTGAACATGAGGTCTAAAAAATAAAAACTAAAAGAACAAAATGCATGTTAATCCTGCCTTGACACTGTTACAAGATAACTTCTGAAGGTCCACATATGTCACATCCAGACATCACATGGCCAGAAACAGAAAGAGCCCGTATCTACCCTGTATCTCCTCGTTAGAAGCAAGAAAAGCTTTCTAAGAAACTACCAACATGAGCAACTTTCTTGTCTCATTGGCCAGAATTGGGCCACGTGCCTAAGGGAAAGGAAATAGAGCTACCTTGTTTATTTTAAATCAATTAGATTTTTCCCCTGTATAGGATTACCCCGTGGTGTGCTTGTAAATGTTAACAACCAGCTCACCCAGGAAAAAAATCAAGCTCTGATTTATACAGCATGCGCCAATTTCTGTGGTGTAAACACACCACCATAGCACATTTCAAGCTCCTAATGTGACATTACTGGACACAGAATTTGGAAGAGGTGCACAATCAATTGAATATAAATTATTCCCACCACATAGATATTTAATAGATGTACGTAATCTTAAGAGCAAAGATAACAGTAAAATGTGGTAAAATAATTAGAAAGTAGTAAGTTTTGAGTATTACCTTTTTAATATAGTTTATTGAATTTTAAGTTTATATAATTTTATTTTTAATAATGGATTGTTTATCTGATTCAAACTTCCTAAAATTTAGCAGTCGTCTCTCCTGAGCTGGTAAGAGCTGGTTCTGAAACTATACCTTGTACCTTAAAGGATCTTGGTCCCTAAGGTAGAAACAAGATAGAAACAAAAATCGTAACATGGAGGACACCAAGCTTGTTTCGCAGAGTATCAGGGGAACCACAGATATGCAAACAACTTGCTGACAGCCCCTCCAATTGAGCATGAGCATCACACAGGTGCACTGAGGGACTAGAACGACTGATAGCACACTTTGAATGCCGCAGGCTGAAAATCCACTGCATGTTACGTACTGGACTCCTCCACCTCTGAAATTGTACATGCAACCCATGAAGAGGCATGAAGGACTCTCTGGCCTGTGCAGGGAACCCCTGAACTCTCGAAACTTACGTTGAAACTTGCACTTACTTTCCATCAATCATTTCTGAGCACCCTCCACCTCTTGTTCCCTACTTCCAAGATAAAATACTCCATTCAAATGCCAGTCAAGGAGCCAGATCTAAAGCAGTGCCTCTTGTCTCCTTGTTTTCCACCTCGCAATAAAGCCTTTTCTCTCTGCAAAAGACCATTGCCTTGGTCTTTCCATTGCACAGTGGGCAACGAGCCCACTTGCTCAGTTCCAGTTCCAGTACACCACTGCTACCCTCCTCTGAGTCACAGGTAGGGAAGTGAAAACTGAACAAAACTGGTTCCCCATCAGCAAGAAAGAAGAGAAGAATGGATACTGGGCAGGAAGCAAACAGTGTCTAATACAACTAATATTTGTACAAAGAGTCTATTGATTCCTCAGTTTATTTCCACATAATTATGAGTAGTTCTGCAATGGTTTAAGGTAGAATTGGGGACATTATTAGATAGCATTATGGCCAGGGACCCCATGCCTGACACAGAATCGGGTACATGGTAGATAAAAAAGATTTGAGGAATGAATATCTACTGGAATCCTGTCCCAGGCTCTAACCCCCACCCCTTGCCCTTCTCCTGTGAGGCCTTGAGTTACAAACAGGCACAAATGAAAAGTAAAGTAATAACTTATTGTTAACTATGGCTCTGACCCCAAGCCACTGTTGAGAACTCTGATAATACAGGTACTAAAGGGCATCTTCCTTTGCCCTAGTCTAGACTCCAAAATCAGGATCTCAGTAAACATTGGCCAGGCTGGCCCCCATGGGATGGCAGGAGAGAGAGCCTGAGAAGGCCTCTTAACATTCCTGGTAAGTAGCGGGTGGAAACAGGAGAGAAGGTCCATGCCCTTGCGACTGGCATGTTAATGCACCGTGGCCCTTCCATTCCTTGCCACTTAAATTTGGTCCCTGGACGAGCAGCAGCAGCAGCAGTAACGTCACCTGCAAGTTGTTAGAACTGCAGAATCTTGGACCGCATCCCAGACCTCCTGAATCAGAAACTGAAGTTTAACAAGATCCCCAGGTTAGGCTCACTGCAGGTTGAGAGCTGTACTAGTTAAGGCGACCCAACCAGTGTCCTATAATTTGGTGAATCAGATTTGTAATTCCTCCATGGGAATCCTTGGCTTCTTCATGCTTTTTGGTTACAAAGCACTTACACATTCTCTGCCCCCACCACTACCACCAACAAGCACCATCTTTCTCTTAGAGAAGGAAGAAAAGAATAATTATCAGAGGGGTAAGATAAGACTCCAAGCACGTAATTGATTTTCCCACCAGTACACAGGCAATACACTTTGGATCAGGCCTGCCTCCAAGTCTACTGGTCTCCAACACAATATGGTCTTACGTTAACTCACCTCAGCTTTTCCCTTTTACCTGCTGTGAGGCCTCAAGTTCAACTTTTCTAGGACTCAGCGTCCTCATCTATAAATTTAGCATAATATTATCTACTCATAGAACTATTACGTGAATCAGTCAACATACATACAGCATTAGAAACGTGCTTGGTACGTTAATGAATACTCAATAAACTTTACCTGTTACCACTTCCCTTGTCTCTAAACTCAAAATCCTTAATTTCATATATTTATTTTTTTCTCACACCCATCTAGTAAATTCCTGCAGCACTGCGATGACTCTTGTGGCTTTTTAACACTTATAGTCTTAATTTGTCAAATATGCCCTGCCCCCAGAGGGAAAAACCTGTGTCTTTTGTCCTTTGTGTCTTTTGTCCTTTATATCATCCATATCTCATAGCAGATGTCTCAAACTCAGCCTAAAGAAGCCAAGAATGTAATGTAAGTAACTTAATGGGGCCAGGTTTGTTCTTTCAACAAAGTCATAATTAAGTGCAAGTTCCATCTTAAAAGAATAGACATTGATCAGCTGTGGCTGATTGCTACCTTGAATAAAAGCAGACACAATATTGCCAGAGTTTCCATTTTCCAAACAAAGCCAGAAATCCAGAATTTCATGTGAAGCTTTTTGAGTTTTAAATGTTGGCTCAAATTTAAGAGAAAAATACAGTGAAGTCCAAATAAAACATATTTGTGGGCTAGATCCAGCCATAAGCTGGCAGTTGGCAACTTCCTTCTGAGCAGAGAGAACAGTGTAAGCAGATGCACATATAGGTGATGTTACATATTTGTGGCACCAGGAGTATACTTCAGTGTGACCAGAGATAAGGGAAGGGAAATAAGTTCAAAGAGGAAGGAAAGAAAATAAAATTGAATCTAAGAAAAGCAAATATATTAAATAACACAGTTCTGTTGCACAACCTTTTCCCTGATTTAATTGTCTTGGATCAAAGGAAACCTCTTTCAACCTTAAAATAGTTGTATATCTTAGGGGAGCAAAGTACCTCACCCCCAAAGATGGAGTTTCACTTCTTATTTATTTTAACCAAACACCACACTCAAAAGACATAAAAGAGGGATTGTAAAACATCTAAGACATTACAGTAAACATAAACATATGGATTAAATTTGCCTGAAATTAGAGTGGGTAAGTTAAAAGAGAAATTATTGAGAGGAGTGAACTGTGGTAAGGATGTTAGAGGTATTAAAAAGTTTGGGTTAAATCTACATGCTTCAGGTCATAAAAGAGTGGAATTTTTCCCATCCTGAGGGATCTTAAATGATCCTTCAAGATAGGAAGAACATGAAGAAAATCTGAGGTGACCCCAAAGACTGTTTTCTCTTAAGAAACACAAAATTCCAAATTTAAAGATGAAACTGTCAGTAAGCTGATTCATGAGTTTCCCTGGTGCATTTAACCTATTTCCACTTGAAATAAATTCCGTTTACAGACAACTTTCCAAATTGATGTACAACTTAAATCAAAACGTTTACTATTGACAAGTTGGGGGGCCTTCTAAAATCAGTCTTTGTCCTTCAATCCCTGATATCCTTCACATTTCTCGATAGAACCATTACACATACTTGTCCAGATACTCACAAACTCATTTGATGATCTGAGTCCAATACTGATGTTATTCAATATATTGTGTCCTTCAGCTAAATTCATAAAATTTTGATTTGACTTTTTTCCTATCCTTCTTTTCCCAAAAGATAAACTCAATGAAAAGATTTTAAGTAATCATACTTTGCCCTTGCTTTTTTGTAGATTCATACATTTGGGCAATAATTTTTAGAGCTGGATTGCTATTACTGTCACAAAACAGGCAATTTGCTTATATTAAATTACTCTGAGAATCTGTTCCATTTCAGTTCCTCCTTTTGAAGTTGATTTGATTTTTTTGGAGTTGTTCTCAGAAAAAAAAAATCACTATTTCAAGAAATGTTTTTCTACATAGGAAGGAATATTTAGACTCACTAGTAATCAAATAAATACAAGTGAAAACAATGCACCACCATCTATTTGCCTATCAGATAGGCAACAAATAAAAAGAATAATACTATTCAGTTTTGGCAGGAGTGCGAGGAAATGAACAATGCTGGAGGAAGCATAAAGTGGTTCAAATTTCCTGGCACAATATGTGCCAAAAGCCTGTAAAACATGGCACCCTTTTTTTTTGTGTGGTACGCGGGCCTCTCACCTTTGTGGCCTCTCCCATTGCGGAGCACAGGCTCCGGAGGCGCTGGCTCAGCGGCCATGGTTCACGGGCCTAGCCGCTCCACGGCATGTGGGATCTTCCTGGACCGGGGCACGAGGCTGCGTCCCCTGCATCGGCAGGCGGACTCTCAACCACTGCGCCACCAGGGACGCCCCGTGGCACCCTTTTGAATCAATAATTCTGCCTTAAGGAATTTATCCTGAGGAAATATCAGACCCTTGTGCAAAGATGAATGATCAAGGATGTTCATTCCAAATTATACAAGAACTGGATTCAAAGTAAATGCCATGAACAAGCAACTGATTAAATAAATTGTGATGAAACCATAAAACAGAATACCATGTAGCCATTAAAAATAATGGCGTGCATCTCTACTTTTAAGTGCAAATGGTCCATGTGGTATTATTAAATAATTAGAAGATTCCAGAACAGTTTGTATAATGTGATTTTGCCTTTTTAAGGGCCGAACATACGTACATTTAAGTGCATGTTCTCAAAAGGAAACATCTGAAAGGATATACACCCAAATGTTAATGACTGAGAGAATTCATGTGATTTTTACTTTATTAAGTATATTTTCCAATATGACATGAAATGTTACAAAAAGTTTGTATTCCTTTGAGAATCAGAAAGGAAGAAAACATTCCATTTTAGAAATAAAAAAAAAAACTACAAAAGAAAAATTCATGCACTTTTTAAAGGCAAAATGAAATTTTGTGTTATTGAGGCCATCTTCCCACTGTAGGATAATACATGTAATTGTTGCTTTCCATCTTTAAAATTAAAAAAGAAAGAAAAACTGGTTTTAACAAAGCCAGAGTTTGGATATTAATGGTTGCCACATGATCCATGGTTCAATCAGGTAGTGGCAAGAAAACACTAAAATCATCAGACTGCAATAGACCTCAATAATTGATTCAATCTTTGATTGGTTTCCCTTTTTAGGCCCCTTAAATTTAATGGGCAAGTTGTTTTCACAGAAGCGCCTAAAGATTGGCTATGGTGAAAATGGGAGGTGACCTATGAAAACCCTTATAAGACATTTTTATAAGACTACACCAGGCCAACTTAACAGATCTTAAATGCTTCTGGAGAGAAGGAAACAAAATCTGGGATGTACTAGAATTGATCCGGGAGATGAGTTGAGAAGGACTAGAAAAATCAGGGTTAGAATGTTGATGCCCATAATCAGTTTTTAATAAATATAAATCAATGGACTGGATTTTGACATTACATTGAGAGAAATTACCATGCCAAATAAATAGGTAAAGGGTGGACTATGTAACAAAATGTTTAGGGACAAATGACTAACCACTTGGAGAAGGCATAGCCAGATCATAACCTCAAATCTTAAATCAAAGAAATGATATATGAATTATTTAAAATAAAAACTAAAACTAAAAAAAGTACTAAAGAAAGTATCTGTCAATTTTTAGGCAGGACTTCAAAGTTAGAATTATATAGTAAATTGACAGACTTAAGTATATAAAATATGTACTTAAATATATTTATATTTTCATTTATAGTAAATATCACTGTCAAAAATATGAATTATGCATTGTGAAAATATTTGGAAATATAATGACAAAAGACTGATATTCTAACTTTAAAAGCATTTTTTAATAAATCAATGAGAAATGTTGAAGACCCCAATATGTAAGTGGGACAGGGTTATAAATACATAGTTCACAAAAGTGGAACTATTATGGCCACTAAATATAAAAAAATTTTCAACCTCACCAGTAACCAAAGAAAAGAACATTAAAGGCACATTGATATATCATTCTGGACCTATAATAACGACAAAAATGGGTGCTCACTTTCTGAAGGGCAGTTTGTCAATAGACACCAAAAAAGTCTTTAAATTGTGTACATGCCAATTGATCCAGAAATTTCACTTTGTAGAATTTTTTTTTTTTTTTTTTTAGCCAACACTTTGTAGAATTTGTTCTCAAGAAAATGTGAGCAAAGATTTACGTACAAGGATAATCATCACAGTACTGTTTAAACTATGGGAAACAAGTTATTTGTCTGAAAGAGAGACTGACTTAGAAATGTATTTATATATTTATTAACTAGAATACTAAGAAGTCCCTGAAAATTAAATTGTAAAAGAATATACACTGACATGGAAAAAAATGTTCATGATGTATTGAGGAGTAAAAAAAACCCAAAAAACTGCATACCACAAAAAAATGTCTACTTAGTATACTATTTCATGTGTGTGCACAAATATACATGCATATTTATTTATACATAATATATATACATATATGCACATATATTTATATACACTATATATATACTTATACACACTATATATATGGCATTACAGCACATTTTATTCTTTATAATTTGTGTGCATATATATGGTTTAATTTTCTGGGCTTAGCTTATGTTACTTTTGTGATAAATGAAGACCAGTAGAACAATTTGTATAAGAAAATGTTTCAGGCATACAAAGGGGAGAGAGAAACAGAACGTCTAGGCATTCTCACTTAAATTGGACCTCAAAAGTGCAAGGGCTTTCACTGGTTGTGAAGTAACTGACATCTGCACTTCCTGCAGAGGTGGTATACTTTGAGTAGGTGGAGAAAGTTTGGGAGAAGAGGAGAGATGATGCAGCGTTACATCTGGAGAAGGCTGACTAAAGGGGTTGGGGTACAGGGCGGTGTCTGGGAAACGGAAGTTAAACAAAAGGAATGGAGTACATCAACTCTACTTACTTCCTCATTCAGTTTTCAACTCAGGAACTCTCTCCAGCTTTGGTTCCTATAACTTCCTAAAGTGCCCCTCACTTCAATAAAGGGTGCCAACATCCACAAGCTGTCAAAGCCAAAATCTGGGGCCTTGATACTCCTCTTCCATCCACCCCCCAGCATCCAGTCAATCATAACCAATTCTACATCACAATTGCCACTCAAATCCATCCACATCTCTCTATGCCCACTGCCACTATCCTAGTCCAGTTTATTCCTCATCTCAACTGTTAAACCAGCCCCGGAACATTTTCTCTGACCACTGTACAACTGCCTGAGCAAATTTTGTAAACAAAAACCTATATGTATAAATATGTATAAATAAATATATATTGGATTGAAATAAATTCACTTGTCTCCTTTACTCACATTTTCTTTTTTTCTTTCTTTAGCCTTCTTGGGTTATAGTTGCCAACACTGCCTAGCCCCTCCAGTAACAAGCAGAAGACAAGAGCTAGCTAATTTCTGCTTCAGAATTTGCAGGGAGAGTATGTGTATGTGTATGTATCTAACAGCCAGAGAGGTAATGAAGTTAAGACAGGCTGAAGGTCCCTTTTATAGCTTATAAAGCCAGAAATTTCACCTAAGAATCATGAGCTTGCACTAGGATTGAATATTTTTTTAAAAGGCTGTGAGATTTTAATGGCATAGATGAAAAAATAAAAACACATCATTTGTTCCAGTCAAGGTTGACATCTTAAAACCAAGTAGATCAGTGATCTCTTTTTTTTTTTTTTTTTTGCGGTACGCGGGCCTCTAACTGTTGTGGCCTCTCCCGTTGCGGAGCACAGGCTCCGGACGCGCAGGCCCAGCGGCCATGGCTCACGGGCCCAGCCTCTCCGCGGCATGTGGGATCTTCCCGGACCGGGACACGAACCCGTGTCCCCTGCATCGGCAGGTGGACTCTCAACCACTGTGCCACCAGGGAAGCCCCAGTGATCTCTTTTTAAAAAGTCAAGAATTTGCATGTCATGGAAAATATTTTTAAAGACACAGAATTAAAATATCTTCCCCCAAGGCAAATAATAGTGCCTTAGAGTTCAGGATCTGTGTGTGTGTGGCTCATAAAGGATCAGCCAACACATGGTGCCAGTTCTCAGAGTGAAAAGAGAGCATCTCTGGAGAATATTCTCCTTTTCTCTAAAAAGACAATTTTTTACACAGACTAGAAAGAAAGCAAAGTATTTTCACTTTTTCCCTGCCTCTTGCTGCTGTCTGCAAAATCCTACCATAAACAGTTTCTAATCAAAACCATCAGGTTGATATTACCCTCTGCTGCAGATTATTTCTAGGGCTTCCAAGTTCCCATGGTAGGCTGCCAGGAGTGTGGGAGTCATGCCATCTTCATCGGAAAGATTCAGATCTCTCTTGGTAGCCTCTTTCAGAAGTTCCAGGTAGCTATCACTAGCAGCTTGGTGGTAGCGAGTGGACATTTTTTCTGCTCACCAAAGCTTTGTCAAATATCACTCTCCAGGCAGAGCAGGAAGTCAGTGAAGCAGCCTTCCTACGAAGCTTGTTAATCAGTGACAAGGAAGAGTGTCAGCCCAGGGCAAAGCTCATTCCAACCTCCCTCCATGGAAGGCAGCCAGAAAGGTTCACAGCACTGAACTTAGATCTTTCTTTCTGGAATGGCCATGACATTGAATACCGAGGACTGCTGTGTTCATCTTGAATGTTTTGAGGCACTGTTTTTTTTTCTTCTGTCCTTTAACAAGTCCTGAATGTAATATTGGTCATCTAGGCACAGAACGTAGAAAATAATTTCAAAACAACTCAGAACTAGTCTAGTTCCCTGGAGAGGTCTATTTTTTAAAGTGCTGTATTGAGGTATAATTCACAAACTATGAAATTCACCCATTTTAAGCGTACAATTCAATGATCATTACTAAATTTAGAGTTCTATAAGTATCACCATGAAACCAAGCAGGACCCTGTGGGGCCTTCCCAGGGACAGACCCCCTCCTCATCTAGTCCCCCACCTCTTGTTTATAGAAAAGCTGCAGCCTCCTAGGCCTTCCCTGAGTTCTAAAGAGCAAATTTAATCAGAGAAGGGAGAAAAGACAGAAACAAAGGAAAAACCATCAAGCAAAACAAAATAATAACAGTTTAGCCATAAAACAAAGTCAAGGGCCTTTAGTTCCTTCTTAAGGACTATAGATAATATCCTGAACCATATCCTTGAGTTGTTTGGCAGATACTAAAACCCTCACCAGGTGAAAAAAGTTAACTGCATGTTGACCACGAGCACATAGACCCCAGACCAGTTAGAACCAGAAGGTTGATGATTGAGATTCCCAAAATATCACCGTTACCTCACCGTCAACCAATAAGAGAACTGTGGATGAGCTGATCGCACACAATGCGACCCTCTCCCTTACACTGTGTTTAAAAACCTTTCCCTGAAAGCCATTGGTGAGTTTGGGTCTTTTGAGCAGAAGCTGCCCATTCTTCTTGCTTGGCACCCTGCAATAAATGCTGCATTTTCAGTAGATTGGCTTTGCTGCACTGAGGGTGAGCAGACCCAACTTCTGTTTGGTAACAACCATAATCCAATTTTATAACATATCCACAACCCCCCAAATATCCCTCATGCTAATTTGTAGTCAATCCTCATTCCTACTCCCAGCCCCAGGAAACCACTAATCTGCTTTCTGTCTCTACAGATTTGCTGTTTGTAGGCATTTCATATAAATAGAATCATACAACGTATAGTCTTTTGTGTCTAGCTTTTTTTCAGCTTAAAATATTTTTTTAAGGTTCATCCATTTTATAGCATATAACAATATTTCCTTCCTTTTTATTTCTGAATAGTTTCTACTATACTAATTTACCACATTGGCTTTATTCATTCAACAGTTTATGGACATTTGAATTGTTTCCACATTTTATTTTTATGAATAATGCTGCTATGAACATACAAGTCTTTGTGTGGACATATATTTTCATGTCTCTTGGGTATATACCGAGGAATGGAATTGCTGAATTACATGATGATTTGTATTTAACTTTTTAAGAAATTGCCAAACTGTTTTCCAAATTGACTGTACGATTTTCATTTCCATCAGCAATGTATGAGGCTTCAAATTTCTCCATATCCTTGCAGCATTTGTTATCTGTCTTTTCATTTTCAGCCATCCTAGTGGGTGTGATGTGGTATGATTGTGGTTTAAATTTTCATTTCCCTAATGAATAACAATGTTGAGCATGTGTTTTATGTGCTTATTAACCATTCTTACATCTTTAAAAAAAATTCTTTCCTCATTTTTTCATTACGTTGTCTTATTGAGTTATATAGGAGTTCTTTATATATTCTAGATACAAATTTTTATCAGATATATTTTGAACTTAATGAAAATGAAAGCAAACATTGCAAAATTTACAGGATGCAGTTAAAACAAAACTTATGTGGGAAATTTGCAGTTTTTAATGCCTGTGTTAGAAAAGAAGATCTCAAATCCTTAACTTAAACTTCCACCTTACAGAAAGAAGGAAAAGCACAGAAAAATTAGTGTAAATAAAAAGCACAATATAAGACCAAAAACATGGTCCAAATTTATCTGCAATCAAAATAAATGTAAACAGACCAAATTCACCAGTTAGAAGACTGAGGTATGTCTTATTTACAACAGACATCTAAAATATAAAATTGCAAAAAAAATTGAAAGTAAAAAATGGAAAAGTTATATCAAGCAAATACTAACAACAAATTGGTACAGCTATATTTATATCAGACAAAAAAATAGTTTAAGCCAAAAATATTACCAGGGATAAAGAGAGATAATACATAATGATAAAAGGAACAATTCATCAAGAAAATATCATACTCCTAAACTTGTATGTACCTAATAGCATAACCTCAAAATAGAGAAAACAAACAGTAGTAGAATTTAATGAGAAAGAACAAATCTGCAATCATAGTGGGAGATTTTAACATAACTCCTTAATGTTATATATCAGTCAGACTAAAGATTAGGAAAGGTATAAAAAAATTGAACACAATTAAGAAGCTTTATCTAACAATCCTACATAGAACACTGCACTCAATAGAAAATGCATGTTCTTTTCAAGCACACGAGAATATTTATAAAAATTGCCCACCTAACAGAACCAGTGCAGGCCTCAACAAACATCAAATAATAGGCTTCACGTAGATCATGTTCTCTGAAGACACTGCAATAAAATTAGAAACCATCATCCTTATACAACTGATTAACTGTTCACATGTTCTCTTGTGATATAACTTTTACATCATTTTCATCATCAAATACCATTTTGCATTGTAATTTTTCTTCTCTTTAATACGTCATAAATATTTCCCATATGGTTATAAAATATTTAATATGCTTGGATAATAGTCCATGTAATTGATGTGAGGAAGGTATATATTTGAAGTCTGTGACTGTTTATTCCTCTTATCTCTTTTTGTCCAAGTCTTTAGTCCAAGATAAATTATCTGCCCACTCTGAAATAGTACAAAGCTTTCATCTGCAAATTCCTCACAGTAATTAGCTCTAAAGGTCAATGTGTGTTCCTTTTATTGGTTTCTATGAGAACAACAGTGGAAGCTGTAGAAGCAAAACCTGGAAGGCAGCATTATTTGTTTGTTAAAAAAAAAAAGGAATTTTTTTAGCCTAGGGAAAGTGAAATATCCAAACATGATTGTGGACACTTTGAGAACAATGTAACATGGTTGCTCTATCATTTTTGCATGAGCCACTTTAATTTAGACACAATTGCACTCACTAATGTACTCTAAATAGAGAATCTTATGTAACCTGAGAAAGGGCTTCTCAAAGATGGATTAATAGAAGAGAACACTCTGTTATATTATACAGTATTCTATTCTATTCTACAGTAATAGAATGCTAAGTGCCAATCAAACAAGGAGTCTGCTGCCAGACAGAGATGATGATGGTGATATTAATGATAATGATACCAATGATGATAAGAGCAGAATGATAAGAATTAGGGTAGAAGCAAAGGAAAAGGAGGACAGAGCAATTATAGAGGAGGGGAATAAGAATTGGAAATGCAAGACAAAGAGAAGGAAGAGTTTCTCAACTCCAGTAGTACTTACGACTTGGACTTAAACTCTCCTATGAAATGTTAAAAAACTGAGCTTTCTTTTTTTTTTTTTTTATGGTGAAGATATTGGCACCCCCTGGCATTTCCTTGGGAAAACTTTTCCTTGAGAGAAGAATGGATGGGGAGGGAGAGGGAAAGCAGAAACAAATCTTTATGAATTTGAAGATCCTCCTTACTTCCTCCCTTCAAGATGAGGTTGAGAAAGAGGGCTGAATGTGGAGCTAGAAGGCCTAGAGTCCATATGGTCTGGGACAAGTTATACTATCTATTTGAGTTTCTATTTCTTTGTGGATAAAATTGGAGGAAATTGCTCATGATCCTATCATCATCACCTAAGCTTACAGGAATAAGGGTGGTATTACAAACTGGAAATAGTGTGACTGCGGCTTAGGGGACAGGGAGAGAGCGCTACAGCTCAATAATTGGTCTACTTCCTTATTCCCCAAAGCCCAAAGAAAGCAAAATTGGTAGAAGATGGTAAGGGCCGAGATTGATGAAAATAACTAACACAGATTTACGTATAATGTAGACATGAATTCCTTATGAGCGGTTGGATAATTGTGGGGCAATTGTGACTTTTGACTGTTTTTCCTTATGGAAATAAGTATTTGAGTCTGTTCCAACAGTATGCTGCTGGACTCTTGGGAGGTCAGAGAAGACCTGCCATACACACAGAGACTTTGAGGATTAGATTTAAGTGGTGATGACCCTCCCTTGTATTGTTCTATTAGTTAGCAAGTTAAGGCCCTCATCAACCATCCTATTGGAATCAACCCTGCTGCCCTCAACTCACTACACTCCTGCAATATTAGTATAACTTTAGAGAAACATCCTGCAAGTGTCTTCTGTGTTGTTCTGGTTGCTAGTTAGGTTCAGAGGGGTAGATTCTATTTCCTCCTTTGTTTTTCTAAAACTCTAGAAACTCAACCTATTACCAGGGTCCCCAAGAATGTAACTCTGAGACCCCTTCTGCCTAGACACCACTTCTTTTTGCCAAAGACTCATAGGAAAACGGGGTTAACGAGCTTCCAGGGACAGCATTTGGAGAGATTCTCTCGCCAGTGGGTCTCCTCTTTCCCATACAGCAATGCCATTTTCAACTCTTCATTGCTGTGTTTATAATTCTGTGACCTCTCCTGCTTTAATAGCAGCTACCTGATAGCTGAGTGGTCTGAACAGGAGTCCCATATACCATGAATGCAATCCTGGCCAAGTAGCCCTTGGATGGAGGATTTATCCAGGGCTTTGACCTATCTATAAAACAGAATCCTGTATGTTCCCTTGCTTCAGGAGAGGAAAAGAAGGGACAAAGACTAGTGGTGGTTGATAATTCCAGTCTACCCCACGA